AGAATTTTACCGTTTCATTTGAGAAAACTAGCATCATCATACTGTATACACACAGAAACTTCATGGCAACCTGTCAAAATAAAAGTACGGTTTAACATGTAACAGAAATATATTACTCTTGTATTACTTTTGTACAGTATAATGTACATTTTAAATATTCCATTTTCTATCAAATTTAAATAAAACAATTAAATGATAAAAATAAATATTACAACCAGACTTAATTGTAGAAAAAAAATAATACAATTATTAGCCTATTAAAAATGTTTTAAAGGAATATTCACACAGTTTTTTTTCTTTTAATTTTCATTTGATTTAAAATTAAATGTTTAATGCCTTCATTTGATTTTCAGAAAAATTAAAACAAGAATTTCTGGGTGAAAAAAAGAAAGAAAGAAAAAGTGTGTAGGGCCCTATTGTTCAAAATTTTGAAATTGTGACTTTTGGACTTATTTTTTCACTGGAATAAATGTTTTTGTAATTACACAGAGTAAAGTACCGAAAAAAGGTACCGTTGGGTACCGGCACTGAAATTCAGGTAAAGATACCGGTACCGTACCGGTTAAAATGTGAACGGTACCCAGCCCTAGTTGCGTTCAGTATTTGTTGAGTGCGATCAAACGTATAGGTTTACATATCAGTATGAGTGTTTGGCCGCTTTGAATCCAGTGAGAGTATATTGTTTATGTCATATGGAAACTCGACTTGTTCTTGAACTTGCTGAACTCTCAGTACAGTAGTTGAAGGTTTAGCGATGTCCTTGAATCACTCGGCCCACCAAGATGAAATGAGTGCTCGTATTCAAATGCTGAATGTGCAGACTAGAGAGTGAGAAACAGTTTTTCATCAGAAGAAATGAAGGAAAGGCTTGTTTCATTGATCCTCCTGTTACTGACGTGGCAGGATCGCAATGAGTGGACTACCCAGCATTCTCTTTTTCCTGCCTCTCTCTGTTGTTACGTGTAGATGTTTTTTTTTATTACTTTTTCAGATGAATGAATTCAAAGAATAAATGGTTTATTATTTAGAGTCATGAAAATTCACAACAATATGTTCAATACTTGAATAGACTTAATTGATTAATGTCTATTATTTCTTTAGATAATCAGGTTATTTTTCATTGATTTATTGGAGAAATAATCAGTAGCTTAATTGATTAAAAGTCAAAGTTTATTAAATGTTTGATAAATTTAGACTATAATTTATTAATCAGTGAAGTATTTCTTTAATCAGATTACTTTTGATAATTAATTAAAATTTTCAATCATTTAATTTTAAGAACCTTATTTCTTCAATCGATTATCAATTAATTTGATTATTTAAAAAAAAAAATCAAATCTATTAATCAAGTTACTTTTAAGAAATGTATGTATTCAGTTAGTTATTGATTAATTTGATTTAAAATTGCAAGCAATTAATTAGAATACTTTTGAGAAACATTTATTCAATTGATTAATCCAGTTACTTTTATTAATGAGTTCATCTGCTTATTTCTGTTAGTCAGATTGCTAATTGTCTAATTCAATTCAATTGTAAAAGTCAATTCAAAGTTTATAAAATCTTTGATAAAATGTTGACTTCATAATCTCTTAAACTGTGAAGTATTTCTTTTAATCTGATTAGAGAATTCTTCAATTTATGAAACCAATTAAAGTACTGAATTGTTTATTGAATTCTTTTTTTTATAATTCAGTAAAATATTATAAATGAATTAGTACTTATTGAATTACAAACTCCACGATTCATTCTTCTTATATGCACACTTATTTTAATAAAAGTTGATCATTGGTTAATCCGTTTATTTTTCTGTTAATCAATTGATCAGAATATTTTTGATAATTGTTTAATCTGTTGGTTTATTTGTTCAATTATTCAGGGTTGTTGCAGTCCTGCTGACAGGCGGTTTCTTAAGTTATTGCTTAATGAAAATTTTATAGGTCTGTATTGATCAGATACTTCATTAAAATCTTTTTTGTTCAATGGCTAGTTGAATGCTTTCATCAGAAATGTTTCTGTCTAATGTGTGCGTTAAAGCACAGGACAAGGTTTCTTTGGTCTCCTGTAATTGCTCAGCATACGCCTGCATGTGTGTGAATGCGAGTGTTACTTGTCCATGGAAAATATTTCATCTTCTGTGCGATCTTGACTGTCCTCCCTATGACAGTATTGCCAAGACACCGGCCTATTTTTCCTTTCGGTAACCCGTGTCCTGAAAAAGTGTTCGAAATGCTGCTTTGGGTCATGTGCATGGAACGCAGACACTCTTCGAGTAAGAGTCCCTATGGAGAGAGAATAAAATGCCCCATCAAATGTGTCTCCAAGTACTTGGCTGCAGTTTAAATTACAGCAGTATTTGATATCTGCAGTGGCCAGTGTGTGCAGCAAACAACATCATGCAGTATTCATACACTGATTTCTATGCATTTTTTGATGTTTACAGTTTCTCCAAGATATTAATATGCAGCTCTGTCCAAAATGCAGCCCTGAAATTGAAAATGCAGGTGATGAGAGTAATTTCATAAGAGGATGAACATGTCAGTGTTGGTGCGTTGCCTTTTTAATTTGTACTTAAGATAGTAACCAAGATAGCCGTTTTATTATTATTTTTTATAAACTTTAAGATTGGAAAAACTTGAGAATTTCTGTCATATTTCACAATTATTAATTATTTATAAAGTGTGTTTATTTTATTTATACTAAAGTCTGTACTTTCTGTAGGATTTCAGATATGTTTGGATGCTTTGATAGATCAAATTTATCAAAGGAATAATTCACCCAAACTGAAAGTGTTTTTATGTGAACAGATTTGGAGAAATGTAGAATTACATCACTTGCTCACCAATGGATCCTCTGCAGTGAATGGGTGCCATCAGAATGAGAGTCCAAACAGCTGATAAAAACATCACAATAATCCACAAGACTCCAGTCCATCAGTGAATGTATTGTGAATTGAGATGCTGCGTGTTTGTAAAAAAAACATCCATCATTAAGGCGATTTAACTTTATGGACTGGGGTCGTGTGAATTACTTGTGGGTTATTGTGATGTTTTTATCAGCTGTTTGTACTCTCATTCTGACGGCACCCATTCACTGCAGAGGATCCATTGATGAGCAAGTGATGTAATGCGACATTTCTCCAAATCTGATCCGATGAAGAAACAAACTCATCTACATCTTGAATGGGCTGAGGGTGAGTACATTTTTAGAAAATTTTCATTTTATTCCCTTAATGAAGTATTTTTTGAAAAACATTATCAAAAACAGCTTTGATCTTAATTTTAGGATGATCGATAATTGTGTATTTAGCTTGTTTCATGAAGTTCATGATTCTTTATCTTTTTGCAGACATTGTGCTCAGCGGTGGTCCAGGTGTACGGGGCAGACAGGGGCTCGTCCTGGTACAAGAGGTGCTGTGGTGTGGCCTGTTTGGTGAAAGACAACCCTCAGAGGTCTTATTTTATCCGTGTCTTTGATATCAAGGTGAGCTCTCTGAGAGCAAATAAACAGCAAAGATATCAGACTTAGCAGTTCGTGCATGTGATATGTAAAATATCTTGTTTCTCATTTTTGCAGGATGGAAAAGCAAAGTTTGAGCAGGAGCTCTACAATAATTTCATGGTCATTTGTTCGAGAGCCTACTTCATTACCTTTGCCGGAGATGTGAGTTTTTTTTTTATATATATATTTCACGTTGTTGACCATTAGCAAGAAAGCAAACAGAGGAAACTAGCCAGAGATGTTCTGTGGAAAAGTTTGTTTGGCTAGTCGCTTTCTTGTCTTTCTTGTAAAGCTGCTTTTAGCATTAGTGAGGATGTGATCTGGCTTTTTTGGTCATATGGTGTGTTTTGCTCTTTAGTCTTGTCAGATGGGCCTCAACTTTGCCAGTGAAGAGGAAGCCAAACGATTTCGGAGTGCACTTAACGAACTGCTCAACAGACGACAGAGGAAAACTGGTAAATGTGCTGGTTTTAATTTCTTTCCTTTCCTTTAAAGGGATAATGGTTCACCAAAAAATTTAATTATGGCATTTACTCACCCATATGTTGTTCCAAGTCCAATCCATATGTCTTTCTTTTTCAGTCTCAATTCAGTTTTATTTTTGGGTGAACTCACTCCCAACTAATATGCTTTACATTCAGTAGTAATCTAAATTATGTCTAAAACCTTATTATTGTCTAAAACATATATTTCTTTCTCCCAAATCTGTGTTTTTCATAATAGTTCACCCAAAAATGAGAATTTTAATTATTTACTCATAATCATTACATACCATATTACATAATGTGTATGACTTTCTTCTTTCTGCGCACAATTGTATATTGTTTAATTTAATTGATTCTTATTTTGATTCTGATATAGCTATAAATACAGAAAAAAATGCATGCATATAGCAATAAATAAAAGTTCAAACTAGAGGTCGAATGATGGATCGCTTATGCCGATTAATCGGCACCGATAGTTGGTTACTGGAACTATCAGGTTTCTGCAAAAATCCATACTGATAGTTTTTGGAATTATTGTTAATTGTTAGTGTATTAATTTCAACATTTACTAATAGATTTAAACATTTTAAAGTTTAATTGACTGAAGTTTACATTAATGAACTAAAATTGATCAATGTACAATTATTATTTAATTTTAATCTTTTTTTTATTCCATTTTAAATGTGTGGTTCAATACTGTTTTTTTTTCACTGTTTCAGTTTTCATTCAGTATCTATTTTAAAAACTATCAGTTGTATGGTCCAGCTTAGCTATCAGTACCAGTAAAATTCATCAGTCGACCTCGAGTACAAAGATAAATAAACACGTTGTTTATTTTACCATGAATAAAGCATTTGATTCTGATTTGGAAATAAATAAAAAACAAACATAATAACAAATAAACCAACAAATATTTTTTCTAAACTTATAGCCTTTGATTCTGATATAGCAATATCTAAAACAAATAAATAATGAACTTCTCTATTACAAAATAATTAAATAAGAACGAATATCCAGCTACACTTTCCACTTCTTTCAGTAGAAGGAAAGTTCATGAGAACTGGAGTTATTAAGCTTTAAAATGACCAGAAAAAATGGCTTGTATGACTTGTGAATTTGTAAAATCATATAATAGTTTTGAGCAAGGAACAGACCAAAATTTATATTGTTATTAGTTAAAATCTGAACATACAGTCCAGTTCCTCTTAGCATGAGAATAGTGATGTTTCATCTTAGAATCAGACATTCCAGTTTTTGGATTCAACTCAACTGATTCAGTGAATGAAGACCTAAATTTTAGTCTGTCAGCCCTCTACGAACACCTTGGCAATTGAATCGCCATTGGCTAGTAAATTTTTTAGTTTACTCGCCAGACTTATATATATGTATGTATATGTTTGTTTGTGAAATGGCACAGTTTTATAAATATCTGAAAGTACACTCTTAACATCAGTCAGTCAAGCATTATAATATGATAATCAATGTTATTTAATGATAACTTTTGTAATTAGAATTAAAACTTGATAACCATGTATGAATGCATATTAGTCATTTTAACTGAACTTCGGACTGGTGGTGGTGCTTTTTTGGTCATTCAGTGTTTCTGTAAAAATTTTTTAAAAATAATTGGGGAAAAGCTAACAGAAATACTGATTAGATAATAATGATACGAATTCTACTAATAAGGATTTAAATTTAAAACTCACTAAGGATTAATGAGCTACTGGATTCATGAATATTAATCAGGTTGTGTGCGTTCGCTCGAACTGATTTGCTTAAATCAAAACAGGGACGATAATAGGTGAGCGCCAGCCAATGAGATTGCTGTTTGCGCATTAGTTCCGCCCACTACCGGAGAAAGCGGTAGTTCTTAAAAGCTGAAGAATTCCAATGGAACTCCGTTATTTTGACAGCAAAATACAAAGAATATCGTTTACATGTAGTGCGCATAGGTAGCGCATCAATTCTCTCTCTCTCTGCGTGTGTGTGAAACAAAGCGACGGCGAGTCGTGCGCCTTCACACTAGAGTTTACGGTACGTTAAATACAGGTGCGTTGCACATCCATTCAGATGAACTGAAAAACAGCACAGATCGCTTGGCGGAGAGTGAAACTCTGAAGCGCTCAGTCAGAGAGTGTTCGGCGAGTGAAAATATATCTGAGCTAAACTTATACTTAGCCTCCAACTCACACACTGGCGAGTAAAATCTGAGAATTTATTAGCAATTGGCTAATATTAGACATCATTTAGTCGCCAGAGTGAAGATTTAGTCGCATATGCGAGTGATTTACTCGCAATGTAGAGGGTTGTCTGTTTTTGAAGCTTGAAAGCTCCAGTCATCATTGTAATTTCATGGAAAAGAGTGAATAGCACATTATTTAAATCTCCTTTTGTGTTCCACAGTAGAAAGCCAGTCATATGGGTTTGTTATAACATGCGGATGAGATTTTAATTTTTGGGTGAACTTTTCCGTCAACACGCTCATTTATTAAAGGGATACTCCACCCTAAAATGAAATTTGTTGAAAAACCGCTGAACGCAAGCAGCGTACGCTCTTCTGTGTCAGCCGCGACACAAGGATACGTTTTCTACGTGTATTTACGCTTTGATTTGAACAAACAGCGCATCCGTGCAGCGCGGCTTACACAGAAGAGCGTACGCTGCTTGCGTTCAGTGGATATTCTCCAAAATGGCGCTACGGTGATGCGGAGAGACACAGAGACGAATTGTTGAATAAAGTCGGCTGCACATTTGCAGTTGTTTATCTCTCCCCGTCTTTCCTCCTGTTCTTCTCAGTCTGTAGTTGTAATCTGTTATAGTGTAGCAAGTGTGCTGGTTTTCTCTCCATAGGGTGTGTTGTAAAACCTTCACAGTGGGCCTTTTCTCCTCATGTCTCTCTTGTAAACGCAGCAGTCTCTCTCCTCACTTCCTGGCTGGGTTCCAGTACTTCCTGCTCTGGTTTGCATGCTGGGCTTTGAAGTTTAGGCTTCTATCTGCACTAACTGATTTTTAAAGAGGCCCCTGGTGCCTTATACGCCTCCTATGTCTGCCTTGCCTGCCTCTCTTTACGTTTAATGTGGTCGCATTCCGAACAAACATGTTGGATCACTTCTTGTGCAGTTTGATTGCATTTGCATACAGTGAATCGTTCAGTTATCTTCTGGGTGTTAAAGGTGAAGTGTGGAACATGTTGTTATTAGTGACACCAGATGGAATTTAAAATGGATTAAAATTATATTGTGATTTTTATTCTCTCTTGTTATTGGAAAATACTGTAAATATTTCAGTATATTACAGTAAATGCTTCTGCCAGTGAGTAGTTTATTTATTCCCACACATGTATTATTATTATTTTTAATTTAATAAAAAAAAAATTTTTTTTTACTTTTTTCATCAAGGATGCATCAAATTGATCAAAAGTACAGTGCAAACATATATAACGTTGCTAAAAGTTCTATTTCAAATAAATGCTCCTCTTTTGAATTTTTTTGTTCAAAGAATCCTGGAAAAACAAATGTATCACCGTTTCCACAAAAACATGAAGCAGCAGAGCTGTTTTCAACATTGATGATAAGAATTACTTGAGCACCAAATCAGCATATTAGAAGGATTTCTGAAGGATCAAGTGATCATGTAGTAATGATGCTAAAAATTCAGCTTTGTCATCACAGCAAATAATTGCATTTAAAAAAAATTAAATATAAAAGTTATTTTAAATTGTAAAAATATTTCACTATATTACTATTTTGCCATATTTTTGATCAAATAAATGCAGTCTTGATGAGGAAACTGTTTGAAAAACATTTTTCTTTCTTACAGACGTCAGTCTTACCGAGCCTACATTTTGAATGATATTGTGTAATATTTATTTTTATTTTACTGAATTATTAGGTATAATAATATTTGGATTTTAATGTGTTTTAGCAGTTGCTCGGCAATGTCACTTTTAAGAGCTGTAAAAACATAATAAAATATCATTAAATTAAAGTATAATTGTGTGTGTATATACACACACATTATAAAATAAAGATGAAATATGTGTTTGAGAGCTTTTAAAAATATGAAATTGCTGAGCAACTGTGATTGAGATAAAAAAGGAGCAAGTCTTTTAACATTTTCACAGTAGAAGAATAGATAAACACTTCACCTTTAAGATCAAGGTTATAAGAATATTATAAGTTTGCATATGAATGAACCACAAATGATGGTGCTAAAAATGTGATGATAAACCTGCCAGTTGATTTAAAAAATAAAAAAAAAAGGATAAAATAAAGCTTAAATAAAACCATGATTTTGTGGATGTTAGTGTATAGCGAAAGGGTGCAGAGCTCAGGGCACCTCTTTTTACCATCTCCTTCCCTAACCTTTCTAACTAACGTAATTTAACCATTCCCTTCTCCTTTGGGTGACCTACCGGCTCTTTTCCTCTGTTACTGACCTCACTAATTTTCACAGTAGAAGAATAGATAAACACTTCACCTTTAAGATCAAGGTTATAAGAATATTATAAGTTTGCATATGAATGAACCACAAATGATGGTGCTAAAAATGTGATGATAAACCTGCCAGTTGATTTAAAAAATAAAAAAAAAAGGATAAAATAAAGCTTAAATAAAACCATGATTTTGTGGATGTTAGTGTATTGCGAAAGGTTGCAGAGCTCAGGGCACCTCTTTTACCATCTCCTTCCCTAACCTTTCTAACTAACGTAATTTAACCATTCCCTTCTCCTTTGGGCGACCTACCAGCTCTTTTCCTCTGTTACTGACCTCACTAGTCTTAACTCGGCCTCCACATTTTAACAATGTTAATTTTGTTTTTGCAGAGAAAAGGCGTGACCCACCAAATGGTATGTGTCCTGGTACTTACATTCACTCATGAGTTTACTCCTAATGTTGTAAGAGCTAATCAGTTTGTGTTTGCTGCTGTTGTTTTTTTGTTTGTTTTTTTAAATCCCCTTTTTGACAGAACTATGCTGAAATACACATAATGTATCTTCCACAGAAATCAAAACCTATTCTTGTGTGAGCGTCGTCAGGCATGAGCGTGATTCACACAAACACACATCCGCATTGTACGTGACCTAGATGAGAGTAGCGTTCAACCCCTGACTGGAAGCCTGAGGTCAATCTGTGCGCTGGGAGCCATATGTATGCCACATGGACCATTCCATTCCACTGCACTACTGCGGCTCTCGCCAATTCAATTACATCAAAGAGACCACGTTTCCTCACTTAGTTTTACTTGGTTAGAATTTCTCATAGATCTTTTATCAGGGTTACGGCACTGGTTTGACATCCCTTAGAAGCGATGTTGCTAGTTACCAAATCTTGTTTGCTCCATGTCAGTAGCCTGTAACAGGATATGTGTGATGCTACTTACAGTCCTATTTATTTTAATTTTATTATACTTTATTTAAAAAAAAAAGAATGCTACAGAAAATATCAAACCAAATTAAGTGTTTTTTTTTTTATTTTATTTTATTTATTTTTTTTATTCCAGAGTATTTCCTATTGAAGCAATAATTTGGGGCATGGGATATTTGAGGGCTCATCTATTATTATTATATATATATAATTATTATTATTATTATACTGTTATTTTTATTGTACTTTATTTTACAAAACACTGAACCAGACTTACTATTGCTAGTCAGATGCTTGTATTTAAAAAAATAAATAAATTATAATGTAGTGATGTTTTTAATTATATGATTTTATAAATAGATTTATATATAATTTTTATATTTGTATTTTTTATTGTAAAAATAATTGTAAATGCATAATTTTTATTTATTTGATTTAAAAGAATTTAATAATTTATTAATTAAAAAATACATTCAAAATAAATTAAGTATAATTCAAATTGTGTACACCCTTGTGCCATGAAATTTATTTGGTTAATTTTCCTGAAAGAAAAAGACTGTACATTTAAATTGCTATTATAAGTTTGATTTCTTGTGGTAATTAAATGTGAATTGTAATTTTTGGCGCCATAAACATCAAACCGAAGTGCGAAAATAATCCTGAACACTCCCTGCGTCAGCCATTGGTTGACCAAACAGATAGTCCCGCCCCCTAACTCACACTATTGGTTCAGCCAGTGTTGTTGGCAGGTCAGGAGTCTCAAACAAACAGAGCAATGTTTTGATAACACCACAGTATTTACACTTTCCAAGGGATTCAGCCTATTTTTTTTTTTTAGCATTACCAGCCAGTCAGAATCATTTCCAGTCTGAAATGTTATTATCCATGACGTTAAATCAACATATTTGTCCTAGATTTGTTACGGCAGCTCTGGAGGCCAGTTCAATTTTTTTTCCCCTCCCTCCAATCTGTTCACATTTCAAATTCACATTCACAATTTATAGCTGTTGATCCAACCATATTGTGCCCTGCTTGACAACACTGTGAAGAATGAAGTTGTTCAAATCAGATTTATGCGACACGTCGTTCCGTTCTCAAAGAACAGAATGTATTTGTGTTGTGTAAGGTGTCCACCTGCAGAAAAAAAGCAAATGTAATCTTTCTCCAGCACATTTCCTTCCCTTCCGCTTCCTCATTGTGTAACTAGATTGGTGGTTGATATCTGACTGAACATGCTCAGTGTGGCCTCTTTATCTCTGATATAACGGTGTTTTCAGTTCAGCATTGATGAGTAGAGAAGCTAATCAGAGATTCGCTGCCATTCTCCACTGAACCAAGTCAAAAACACACTTGTGTATTATAAAAAGTGTGTGGCTTTGCCTGCAGTTGAAGACTTGTAATGCTTACAGCAAATTTCAGAGATTAAACTGGATTAGCAGTTCCTTACGTAATATTCCGCATTTGTAATTTTTCAGGATTCGACTAGCATGAGAGGGATTGGTTTGGTGGGCGGCCAGATCACAAAACACTCACAATTGGTTTAAAGAGCATCTCAGCTTTGAGGCTGGTTTGAGGCTGCTTGGCTCGCTAGCCTCCTGCTGCGGTGAAATTAGCTAGCTACCATAGCTTCACGCCTTAATGCTGGGCCACAGATGAGATGATGTTCTGCACGACCTTCCTGTCCGCCCCATCCGAGGAGTTTTTAGAGAGCGTTTCGAGGCCAGATGGGAGCTTGGTGCCCCTGCGATGCTTGGTGTTGTCAGGGGATGAACTGAACGCGCCTTTGCCTCAGCCTTGTCTTAATACGCTGCTGAAATTCAGCGGTGACAGACCCTCCATCTCTACAGAGGACGTCCTCTTGGGAGGTGCTCTGGGTCACGGTAGAGGTCACAGGAAGCTCGTGGCTCTCGCCCAAGTTAGGGGTTTAGCAGCTCTGCTGTGACTCCTCACGATTCTAGTGAAGAAGTGAGCGTGTGCTCCTAAACTGGGTCGTGGATGTGAGTAAAGCGTCGCTTGGGTATTTTCAGAAGTTTCTTGTAACTTTTTAAGGAGTTTGTAGAGTGAAGATGAACATTTTAAAGTTCTGTCGAGGGTTATTTCATTTTGTTTTATTTTAAATTGATTAAAAATTTTAGTCTACATCAAGAGAATTATTATTATTATTGCTCAGTGTTAGATATAGTGTGGTCTCTAGTGTTTTGGATTGTAGCTTTTGAGATACAGTTGGACATTTTTGAAAGGGATAAGCCGTTTTAAATAAAGATTTATTTTTTAACAATAATTTGGGGCAGTTTTTTGATTCCATAAAAAATCATCAATATAATATGACTTTTTTTCTTTTTTTTATTCCTCAATCTTGCACAAAGAATTATGACTACATAAACATTATAATAATGACTAAATTATAATAATAATAATAATAATAACAATAGTTTATGATGTTTAAACATTTTATTTATACATATTTGATACATAAACCGATTAACAAAAACTTAAATATAATGTCAAACATAATGATAACAATAATTATATTTATGCATTTTACTTATACATTTTGATACATGAACAGAATTATTATTATTAATGCCATTGCAAAAATTGTATAATAATAATAATAAAGCTATGTATGCCATTATATTTTAATAACATCAAGAGAATTATTATTATTATTGCTCAGTGTTAGATATAGTGTGGTCTCTAGTGTTTTGGATTGTAGCTTTTGAGATACAGTTGGACATTTTTGAAAGGGATAAGCCGTTTTAAATAAAGATTTATTTTTTAACAATAATTTGGGGCAGTTTTTTGATTCCATAAAAAATCATCAATATAATATGACTTTTTTTCTTTTTTTTATTCCTCAATCTTGCACAAAGAATTATGACTACATAAACATTATAATAATGACTAAATTATAATAATAATAATAATAATAACAATAGTTTATGATGTTTAAACATTTTATTTATACATATTTGATACATAAACCGATTAAGAAAAACTTAAATATAATGTCAAACATAATGATAACAATAATTATATTTATGCATTTTACTTATACATTTTGACACATGAACAGAATTATTATTATTAATGCCATTGCAAAAATTGTATAATAATAATAATAAAGCTATGTATGCCATTATATTTTAATATAATCCTTATTTATTATTATTATTTAATAATAATACTTATGCATTTTATGTGTACTTTTTTATGCGCAGTTATTATTATTTAACAATAATAACTATATGCATTTATACATTTGAAAATAAAAAAATGCATAAAATATCAACTTGTGAGTGAATTGCTGTTAGGTAAGAAGTGAATAATTAATGTAACAAATTAATTGCGTTACTTTTCCATTCTGAACACAGCAATTCAAAGGTGTTATGGTGATTAATTTATTGTTATTATGTAATAAGTTGTTATTTTTGAACAGCATCATATAGATGTCGTCCATGGCTCTGTGGTAAGATTGAACTCTCCGGCTGTCTTGAAAGCGACTGCTAGCTAATGCTTGTGGTTTTGGGGAAAGTTTGACACAAAGCCTGTTGTTCCAGCAGCGTTCCTTTCTATGAAAGCTGCTTTTTATCACCCACATGTTGCTGCGATGAGAATCATGACGACATGGTATATGTGTCATGATTCAGAGTGTTTCGCTTTTGGTCGTGTGGTCAATGATATATTTGCTCAATGCGGTCATGTTTATTTGAATGAAACAAATCTTATGAAATGTAGTTGAAATGAAGAATTTTATTTATTTGTTTGTTTAATTATTTATCAGAGCAATTTGTATGAAGTTTGTACTACTGATACCAGACATTTTAAACAGATTTCTATTTTTTTTTTTTACATTATTATTATTATTATTATATTTGTTGTTGTTCTTACCACACCAGCATCATCTGGTCTTTGAATACATGAACTTCCAGGAATGTGTGTGATTCATTCATTGGGCCGCCCCCTCTTTGCTTACGCTGGACAGAATCAGCTGTTGTTGAAAGAGCTCGGCCAGAGACGACTCCTGTCACTCTCACAGGGAAATGTGTGCAACGGGTTGGTGATTCTCAGGCAGCAGCTAATCAGTTTTGTCATGTGCCCAGGACCCACTCTCCTGATGGCAACGGTGGACATCAAGAATCCCGAGATAAACAACAAACTTAATGTGTCCCATAAGAATAACATGGTGCACAGTGGCCTTAACAAGAAGAAAAAGAAGGGCAAGGGCAGTCGGAAGTTGACAAAGGCTGACATTGGGACACCAAGCAACTTCCAGTGAGTCTTTAAGTATAGCAGTTTCAGTACTTCCTGTGTTGGCAGGAAGTGACATCAGTAATGCATATTAAAATGCTGTCATGCTGCTTTTTGGGGGGGGTGGTTATTTCCAATGAGGCTTTATTTTTATTCTCATGTCTTTTTCTGTCCGTATGCTCAAAAACAGTCACTGCAACTTATAATATTTGTAGTTTCGATTTTATGTTTTTAATCTTTTACACGAAAAATGCTAGTTAATGTTAACGAATTGGACAACTTTTTAGGATTTTTTCCCCCAATTTTAAAAACGTATCTTAAAAGACATTTATTTATTTTCTATAGAGTTGGTGCTGATTTTAGTTTCCATAAACGGTATACCCTAAAATAATTTTAAGCCTAAAATTAGAAAATCCTATTAACTAACTTAAAATTATTATTAGCTTCAAAAGTTCTTATTTAAATATGTATCTGTTTAATGTGCTATATTAGTTTCTATAGAACTTGTACCTTTTAAAGAAATGTAAGATTAAAGTTTTTAAAAATCCCCATTAAATTACACTTGAAAATGTAATTAACTTAAAAAAAGTTTACTTTTTTTTTTTTTTTACCGAAGAAATGTTAATTTTAATAAAAAAAACAATTTTTTATTTTAGCCTTAATGTGTTTTTGTTTCTGTAAACATTCTGCTTTTAAAGAAATTTAAGCTTAAAGTTTGAAATCCACATTACCTTAAACTTGAAAATGTTATTACATTTTAAAAATATTTACTTAATTGTTTAAAGAAATTAATTAAAATTTGCATGAATGTCATTTAGCATTATTATTAGTAGTCGTAGTATTTCAATAGTATTACTAAATATTTAAGTCTTTCTGTCAGATAGTTTTCTTTTCACATTAACACATTAACACATTCTTTAAGATTTTGTATTTCTTTTTGGAAATGATTGATCTTACGCCTCATTGATCTGAGCTTATGCCTGTGTTAATTTAGTATTATTGAGATATATATTTTATATATTGTTAATATATTTAATTTTATTTTAGTATTTTCTGTTTTCATTCAAATAGTGAATTTTATTGTTATTAATTTAATGTATTGTAATTTTTTTTTTTTTTTTTGTCAATATAGCTTTAATTTTTATTACTAGCTTTATTACTGTATTGCTCTGATCAGTGTGACCTACAGCCAGTCAGTTCCTAGAGAAATAAAAGAAATCAGTTCCTAGAGAAATACCAAACCTGTGCTCATTGAAAGAAAAGTTGATCAAAAAAAAAATTTAATGCTAGATTGGTTAATAATATAACATAATGGAAGATTCGCAAACAAAATACAAATTTAGGAAGGATTTTCAGCACAGCGCAAGGGTTAAGTTTATTCCCTTTCCTCGTGTTGTATTTGTTGTTGTTGATGCCAGTCTGACGGTGCTTAACGCAATATTTTCCAGGCACATCGGTCATGTAGGATGGGATCCGAACACAGGCTTCGATGTAAGTACACAACAATGACTTGCTCTGTAACCCCACCAACACACTCACACGCTCTCACTGTCATACTCGCTCTCACATACATATTGAAGAATCTCTCATAGGAAAACAATGCTGACCTGTGTAGTAATGGCATGATGACATGCCTCAATAGCCCTGTGTTCATGCAGGCTGAAGCATCTGACGCTTGAATATGCAGCCTGTCGCCCACAACACTACCCAGATTGCATGTGTACACAGCAGTGTGCTATCTGTATATTTGCACTGTGTATATTTTCAATCACTTTATGCTAAACTGTTTGTTATGGAAATACTGGAGATATTGCAAACTGCTGCCTTTTTATGAAGCAATTAGAAATTCAGGCTACTGGTGCAATAAAATGAGATGCTGTTGCTCTTAACTAACTGGAAAAATATGTAAATGCTCTGAAGAAGCCTCATTTTAAGGTTTGCATTATGCATGCAGCTGGAATGTTGAGCATGACATAATGTAGGGTTTTAGCGGTGATGATTAGCATAAGCAGTGTGTCCACAAGGTGGCAGGATTGTGCTACATTTGAGAACAGCATGAACACTGGGGAAATGATGTGTAGTGCTTGCAAGGCAGAATTGCATTGATTTCTCTTAAGATTTTAATCATCATGATCTTATTTTAAAATGAAAAATCCCCATTAACTGGCATTTAAAGATGTTATTTTAAGAATTTTTTATTTATTGTAAAGAAGTTTTTTAGTTTCTATAAACATACTTTTAAAGTAAATTTAATATTAGAAAAGTTAGAAAATCCCCATTAATTTACACTTATTTACTATTTCATTAATTTAATTATTTACATTTTTTTACTTTTAGTTAAGTTTTTAGTTATTGACTTAAAATAAGTTTAAAAAAAAATTGTTTTAAACCTTAATTTAATTTTAATTTCTATAAGCATTATATTTTTAAATGTAAGAATTAAATTCCCATTATCTTGCACCCAAAAAGGTTATCGTTAATAAATATGTATGTATTCATTTATTTTAGCCTTAATGTTCTGTTTTTAGTTTTTCTAAACATTATAGCTTTAAAGGTAAGATTAAAGTTTGAAAACCATTAAAGGGACAGTTTACCCAAAAATGAAAATGGTCATACTATATTTAGTTGTGCTTACTAAGGCAAGCATCACTATTACTATTGCTCATACTTAAGGTTGGTGATCCAAACAACCCCCTAACCCTAAATAAAACATTTTGGACACTTATCTGCACATTTTTGCTATGGGAATGAATGATAATTCAAGTTATTTGGCACGGTCAAAAACAACACGTTTTCTTCAGCAAATCTAAAAATTCTAGTTCTACTTAAAACTTTATCACTGTTCTTTTGCTGCCTTGCAAGCACTTGTATTTCATGTATGAAACAGTCCTAGCAAATAAACATTTCTGTTGAATTTCAGAACTTCAGTATTGTTAACTATGTAACTATTCTATATAAGGAAAAAAAGAAATGTCTCATGACTTTACCGTTTTTATTTTGCAGTTGAATAATTTGGACCCAGAGCTGAAGAACCTGTTTGACATGTGTGGCATCTCTGAGGCCCAGCTCAAAGATAAGGAGACGTCTAAGGTCATCTACGACTTCATTGAGAAGAAGGGCGGTGTAGAGGCTGTGAAGAATGAGCTGAGGAGACAAGGTGAGACTGATCGCTGTCAGACTCTCTGCACTGAACACCTGCCAGTTGTGGCATCATCATATTCACATGTCAGACCATCCACTGTCAGAAAAAAATGCCCAAAACTTCCCCTAACTAGTAATTTTCTGTCCCGATGCAGCAAAGCCAATATATCCTTTTTATGACTTTAAAATAATGTGGCTGTAACACATTCCTCAGAGGATTTTATACAGTAGTTGGGTGCATATATTAGCATTTTATATTTGATCAGTATATGTGGTTTTCCTTCAGGTCCTCCCAGGTGGTGCGGTAGGTAGAATGTGTGTGTTTCTGAGTGAAACCTGCTTAGATTTGCATGTGTATGAGGTCTGAATCTTTGCAAGTTGGCATGGGTTGTTTTGAACGCTGTTTTAACACTTGGAGGACAAATTTTAGATGTGAAAGTGCTGTTTTACCTACATGTAACTTCATGGAAAAGCATTTGTGCATATATGGATATTTTTCATGATTGTTCAAGAGGCATTTGTCTACTTTCGTTGATCTTTTAAAAACATGTTTGATTGCTTAAAACCATGACTTTTGTTTGGTTTTTCCTCTAGAGTGAAAGTCTTACTCCAGCTTTAATTGACCCCATGAAATAGATTGACACTTTTCTTTCCTGTATTGACATATGTGACCCTGGACCACAAAACCAGTCTTAAGTCGCTGGGGTATATTTGTAGCAATAGCCAAAAATATATTGTATGGGTCAAAATTATTGATTTTTCTTTTATGCCAAAAATCATTAGGATATTAGGTAAAGATCATGTTCTATGAAGATATTTTGTAAATTTCCTACTGTAAATATATTAAAACTTAATTTTTGATTAGTAATATGCATGGCTAAGAACTTCATTTGGACAACTTTAAAAGGCGATTTTCTCAATATTTAGAATTTTTTTTTGCACACTCAGATTCCAGATTTTCAAATAGTTGTATCTCGGCCAAATATTGTCCTATCCTAACAAACAAACTTATTTATTCAGCTTTCAGATGATGTATAAATCTCAATTTCGAGAAATTTACACTTATGACTGGTAAGGGTCCAGGGTCACATATAAGATGAAACGGGGAGTTAGACGGGGAGATATCGAAGTGGTTGTAACTTTATTTTACTTTAATGGCTGTTAGCTTATAATACAACCCGCTAAAAAGACTGTGAATGGGACAGCAACAGCATTCTAGTAGGAAAATATTTTTTCTTATGCATACATTAACTTGTAAGAATTGCTACTTAGCTGTAGTTGATATGACTTGATAGAATGTGTAGTAATAATATATAGAATAAGTAAATGGTAATTTTTTAAAATATTTGTAACTGTATCTGCAGTATATTCAACCATTAAGGTGCGGCCACATTTACAGTTTTTTTTTTTTTTTTTTTTGCTGATGTGACTGCTCCTTTAGTCTTTAAATGGGATCTGCGTAGCTATTTTAAATGGTAAATATTATAAATAATAAATTCTTGTTGTTAAAATTATTTATATTTAATGTATTTCAGTGATTTTTTTTTGTGTATGTTTTATCATCATTATTTTTTATTATTATTTCTATTATTTATGTAATTCATTTATTACTATAGGTTTCACAGAAGAGAACACATGAAGCGCATATATCTGCTAAAAGTAATTTTTCTTCAATATCTAGAAGTATACTAGCATACAGATGCTTCAAAGCTAATAAATAACTTTGGTTTCATGGGGTCTTTTAAACTATACTAATGGTGTGTTCAAGTCCTCATGGGAAGTTCGTATTTATGATTTGGGAAGTCATAATTGCAATGTCAGATATGGTCAAGTCACTTTGGTTGGAACAAGATAGCAATGTCGTTAAACGATTGTTTCAAACAAAATGATGAATGAATTTGGGTGTTTTTGCTTTGTTTTTATTCAATTTCTGAAGTTACTATAAATTTAATTATGTATTCAATTATAACTGTACAATAGGTGTATGTTATATTGTAAATGGGGAAAAATCATTCATTTTAACAAATTTAGCATTCGATAGAGATGTTATATCCATTGCATCTGCCATATGTTCTCACTGACACACTCCCAACTCGGAAACTCAGGGCTTGAAGAAAGTTCAAAGTTACCCACTCATAATTCTGACTTTGTGGTGGCATTCATGTACATTAAACTCATAAATAAGATTTTTCCGTCTTGACTTGAACACCACAATACATGAATACATGGAGAGTAGGGCTGGACAATAATTCAATATCAATATGTATCGCGATATAATTTTTTTCAATAACGGTGATATGATTTTAAAACATCCGATATTAATTACGATATACATTACCAGTGTTTCCCATACATTGATTTATTTGTGGCGTTTGACTTCTTTGAATAAACATGAGCACTGCACGTTTCAAAATCAAAAAATGTCGCGGGTGTTTTATATAAATGTATCTGTGAAGGGAACCGACTGTCTTCAGAAAAGTTTCGATGGCATTTTCATTTGATCTGATAAAGAAGCGTTCATGAGTGGAGCTGCTTTGATTGCAGCCGTTACTGGGGAAACCGCTAGTTCTACCGCTCTCAAAGCGCCTCCTGCTGGCAGACAATCAGTTTGGATTTTCAATAAACCCGTCTCCAGCAACATTGTTTTGTTGTTGCTCTTTTTTTTTT